CTTTTTGGAGAGGTTTTTGCTATAGGGTATGTGCACTCACCAGAAAGACAGAGACAGACAGAGAGACAGAAAGTAAGAAATCACCCCCCGGGGGGATGGCCACAGAGCAATCCCATTTTCTTCACTCTCCTCTTGGGATCTTGGGCATGCACGCACATGCACCTTGTGTGAGTTTAAGGGTCCGGGACTCAAACCGTGGTTGACTACATGGGAGTCCAGTGACATAGCCATTATGCCAACTGCTGGTCCTCCAATAAAATAATTCTTAAAAAAGAAAGAAAATTACATAAAATACCATTTATCTTTTTTTTTTTTTTGTATTGCCAGAGGGTGCATGTGCTTCTGAGAGAGGAAAAGAAAGAGGGAGAGGGAAAGGGAGAGGGAGAAGGAGAGGGAGAGGGGGAGAGAGAGGGCACTCGCCCCAGTGGGGCATGGTTATTCTGTCATTTTCCCTCCATTCCCCCATCTCTCTGGGATTTGGGGCATAAATGTAGCATGTTGTTTGTTTCTTTGTTTAGTTTGCTATAGGGCACGGATGCTCACCAGAGAGAGACAGACAGACAGAGAAATTGAGAAATCACCCCCTGAGAGGATGTCCATACTATCAGCCCTTCTCTTCCAGCCTCCTCTTGGGATTTTGGGCATGCACACACATGTCTGCTATAATTTTCAAGCCGCCATGTCCGGGACTCAAAACAGTGAAGTTTGCCATGTGGGATCCAACTGCCTTAACCTCCATACCACCTGCTGGCCCGTATGGTGTTTGTTAAGCCAACATGGCTGGGACTTACATCTCCTTCGGCCACAAGGGATCCTACTGCACGATGGGGCCCAGCATTTATCTCCAGTACTGAGGGTTTTGGCACTCTGAAATTTTGCACCACCTCTAGTCCTAGCTGGAACATCAGTGTGGATCTCCTTAAAATTCCACCCTGTCCCTCACAGGCATCCCGACCAAAGAATCCCCCCAGTGTACTGATGGTAGTAAGGCAATCTTTTCCAAATATAAAAATGAAAAACTTACGGATGACACTAGTAATAGCCAAGTTAGGGATTTGGTAGGTTCTTGGCACAGTTAACTTAGCAGTTTATAAATAGGAATTCTAACAGACTTCTGATCCCAGAGTAAAAATTCATTTTAATCCTCAATTTCCTTATTTCAACTTAATGTTAAGAGGTAAGAATATCGAGCGTATTTTGTTATACTTGCTATTATGCACATTACTATATTTGTTATATATTCAAGGCTTCAGGTGGATGGAATAATTAAAGTTCTGATCTGATACTGCCGTTGGATCCTTGTGACTCAGTCCTATTGCATGTGAGTAAAGGCGACGTGTCGTAACACCACGCTCTGACCAACAATCCCAGTTACGATCTATATTACCAATACCAATCCAAGTCAGTCACTAAATGGCTTTGGGGCTCACTTTCATCATCTGTAAAATGGGACTACAATTTGCCCTGAATACCATGTCACTTAAAAACCTTTAATTCCCCCTCTTTTGTTTATGCTAAATAATTACAGGCTATCTCGATTTTCCTTAGATTTTAAAACTATAGACGTTTATTCTGAGGTCTGTCCCATAGCCTCGTGCTTAAGAGAGCCAGATTCCCCATGGCCGACTGCGATTTGCATCTCTGCCCCAATGGCTTGGAAAACATTCCAGGTACATGTGTATCAGGACCCAAAATCTCAACAGAATGGAGAAATAGAGCAGAAGGGATTGAGGCAAGACCACACCTCATGGGGGGTAGGGGGAAATGCTTTCTGCCTCTCCTTCTTTATCTCTCTCTTTCTATGTCTCTGTGGCAAGCACATATATCCTCTGCCAATTAAAAAGAAAAAGTTGTTTACTCTGAAAAATAAAGATTTTTTAAAAATTTCTCTTTTTTAGAGAGAGTTCATTTTGCTATAGGGTACATGCAGTCCTTGGAGAGACTGAGAGAGACAGAAAGCGAGAAGTCATCCCCTGAGGGGATGGCCATACGGCAATCCCTTCTCCTCCATTCTCCCGTCAGGATTTTGGGCATGCATGCCCCTGTGCCCAGCATGAGTTCTAAGACACCAGGTCTGGGACTGGAACTATGGCTGACCATGGGAGTCCAACACCTTAACAGCTTATTAATTTCTTCCAAGAACAAGTAAGAGAGAGAGAGAGACAGAGAGATAGCATCCCAACAAAGTCTCACTGCTATGACCCCTAGCCCCAGCAAGCCCCAGATAGGAGGCACGTGCATGCCCAGTATTTCCAGAGAGCTCTCTAGACGCAAACCCAGAATCCTCCCGCGTGGATCAGCCTTTTAACACATCACAGTCCACGGCTGTGCCACAAAGAACATTCTGAAAGAAAAGACAGAAATAAGTGAAACCAATTTTATTTATTAAAGAATGATATAAAACTGTTTGGAACCCCGCATAATGTGGTGTGTATACCAAATGGGAGTCAGGGGCCACTTCTAACCAGTAACTTCAGAGAGTTCAGAACAGATGCTCTGGACTAAAGCATCAGTCATTGGAATGGATAAAAAAAATCTGGGTTTAACATCTGGGCTCCAGCAGGTCAAGACTGCCCTTAACCATGGCTCACTGTCATTCTTTTTTTTTTTTTTAAACAATCATTTTATTTAACTTTACTTATTTATTTACTTTAATTTGAACAGAGAGGGACAGAGTGAGAGAGAGAGAGGGAAAGTGAAAAAGCAAGCCACCAAGTCCAGGACTTGAACCTCGGTTGGCCATGTGGGAGTCCAGCGCTCCTAGCCACCATGCCGCCTGCCGGCCCCTACTGTCATTCTTAGAGAAGCCTCAGACTTTCACCAGGACTTAATTAGGAATCTGGGTTCTATTACTCATTTCTTTCCCAAAGTCTAACCTTGGGATTAAGACTCATGATTCTGATTGTACAGCATTTGGTAGGTCACTGCTTTGGGCTGATCACTTCCCTCTCTTCCTCACTTGTCAATTCCAGCAGTTCTTTTCCACCTGGTTAGCCAGGTGTGACTCTTAGGACCTCTCCAAGCACTCAGCAAAGAAGATACTATGATCTCAGTCAAAGAGAACAGGTGGGCCAGCTGGTAGTGTGGTGGTGAAGGCGGCTGGGTCCCACATGGCCACATGCAGTCTGAGCCCTGGTGCTAGAGGCTTGAAAAACAGGTTGGAGGGGCCGGAAAGTGGCGTGGTAGTTAAGGGTGCTGGACTCCCACATGGCCAACTGTGGTTCAAGTCCCGGACCTGGTGGCTTGCTTTCTCATTTTCTGTTCTCTTGCTCTCTCCCCATCTCTGGTCCAATTAAAATAAATAAAGTTAAATAAAATAATTTTAAAAAAGTATTGGATGCACAGAAAGCGTGCACCCAAAACCCCAAAAGGAGAGCAAGATGGAGTAGAAAGAACTGCAGTGCAGCCACCTCTCATCTCTCCCAGTGAGTGCGCAAACTCTCTGGCAAGTTAATAAAAATAAATAAATAAAAATAAAATAAGCATAGAAACTAAGCTACTATGAGGTACCCAAGATACGTTTGCCTCCTTTTTTTTTTTAAAAAAATGTATTATTACTATTTTTTTAAAATAATTATTTATTTACTATCATCATTATTTAATTTGACCAGAGAGAAACTAAGAGAGAAAGAGAGGGAGAGAGAGAGAAAGTGAGAAAGCAAGCCACAAGGTCTAGGACTTGAACCACACCTGCCAGCTCCCAGTTAGTTGTTTTTATTTTAAGAGAAATTTTTGCTATAGGGAGCATGTGCTCACTAGAGAGACAGAAAGTGAGAAATCACCCCCACCCCAGGGGATATGGCCATGGCGCAATTCCTTCCCCCCCATTCTCCTTTCTGGATCTTGGGCACTCACGCACATACACCCAGCATTTTAAGCTGCCGGATCTGGGACTTGAACCTCAGTCAACTATGTGAGAGTCCAACGATATATCCATTACACCATCTGCTGGTCTTTATTATTATTATTATTATTATTATTATTATATTTGACCAAAGAGAGATAGAAAGAGAAAGTGAGAAAGCAAGCAGCCAGGTCCAGGACTTGAACCGTGGTCAGTCATATGGAAGTCCAGTACCTTTGCCACCATGCCACCTGCCAGACCCAGATAGTTTGCCTGCTTAATTTTAATTGAATTAATTGATTACTTAATTTTTAGTTTTTCTTTAGGGTGTGTGTACTTATTAGAGAGAGAAAGAGGAAGAAAGAGGGAAAGTGAGAAATCACCCCTAGGGGAGATGGACATGCCACAATCCCTTCCCCTCCATTCCCCTCTCAGGATTTTGGGTACACACACACACACACACACACACACACATGCCCAAAAAAACCTGGTGTGATTTCCAAGCTGCCAGCTCTGAGACTTGAACTGTGCACTTGACCACATGAGATACAGCCACCCTAATCACCATGCCACCTGGCTGGCAGAGTCTTTTTAATTTTTAAATAGCAGCCTCACTGATACATAATTCATGTGCATTATTCCCATTCCCCCAGCCCAGGCAACCACGAATCCGCTTTTTGTCCCTGTGATTGGACTATTTTCTGGACATCATGTGGTCTTTTGTGACTGTGTTCTATCACTTGTTCTCAAGGGTCACCTTTGTTGGAGCATGTACCAGAACCTCGTTCTCTAGGGCTGAATATACCATGTTGCATTTATCCATCCACCAGTTGATTGACATTTAGGATATGATTACTTATTGGTGATTGTGAATAATGCAACCATTATGCCAACTGCTGATCCCTGTAGTATCTCTTAAAACCAAGCTCCAGACGGCATCCACTACCGCTGTCACTGTGTTGTACTGTTCTTACATCCAGCCCTGATTTATGTGGGGAAGGATCACCAATAAGGTAGATCCTAAGAGAGGTGAGGATCATTAGGCGCCATCTTGTAGGCCAGCTACCGTAAACAGGTTGACTTCAAAGTTCTCTTCTGTTGTCCTGAGATGATCCAAATTTATAACCCCCAGGCAGGAGGTCAAAAAATATGTCAGCCCAGCCTCTGTGGCACAGGCTGGAGCC